AGATTTAATCAAAGCGAAGCATGAAGGATAAAGTCGCCCCTCTTCAGAGCAGCATAAACTCCAACTGGCTGGAGCTAAAGCAACTTTTTTCTAAAGATCTCTTCTTACACAACATTATCATTCATTTACAATTTGCAATTTAAGGACACTTTCCTTGCATGAGTCATTATGCAGATAGCAGAATTCAGAGTTTTAGACAGAAATAAGGATTTTGCCTGGAATAACAAAATTCGATACCCTTCTAACATTTCAGCTGTAAATGTGCTTGTACTTGGAACTTCTTTTGCCCTTCAAGAATGCAGAATATTTTATGGGAGCTCTAGAAACTAATGCGAAGATGCAGAAGGAGAACATGTAGAAGGTAATTTAGAAGTGCAACAGGAACATCAAGACAAGGTTTAATAATCAAAGAGATTCATTGCTCTTATTCTCTCCATAACAACTGGGTATCTAGGACTAGGTAAAGCAGATTAACTGAAGCATCAGTACTCAAAAGGTGCTCACCTACCCTGTACAGTCTGCTTCATTACACATGCTAATTGGGACTCAGTTATCAAATAAACAATGATAAGCATCTGAAGACACACCTCATTTTTCAAAGGCAGCATTTTAGAAATGGCTATTTCCAGTACTTGATACTCAAAAACTTAAGAAAAGCAATTTCATGCACAAGTTTTTCTCCAGTGCTCTTCCACACACAAGTGTACAAAGTAGAGCTAGAGAAAAATTCCTACAGCCTGAAGCCTTTTTTTTGCTTTAAGAAGTCATTCTGTGAGTAGCAAAACTAATGAAACCTGTTTTCCTGTGCTGCTGCATGTCAACACTGTTGACTTTGACATCTAAATATGTAGAAGACGTGACAGCATTTCCTGCTGTCACATCTTCCTAGTCCTGCTGGGCCATTCATAATATTTATGACCCTGAATTCCCTGGAGTCTCATAACACAACTGATTTAGGCAGCCCTTCCCTCTCCCTTCTGCCCAAACTCATATCATCATGAAAACTGCAATTGACCAACAAATTCAAAGGTACAGGACAGGGGAAGAAAGTGGCAGATGTAGATTAAAAGTTTTGTTTTCCTAATAAATCAACCTAGCAAAACCAAGTTGAACACTGTCCTCTTATGCTTGTGGATTTGTTTACATCTTGGGAACCCTGCTGCTTGAAGCTCCCTTCTATAAAAACAGAACCTGCTCACCCATGGGCTTTCTTATCTTTCACCTGGCAGAAATCCTTTCCCCTCTCTTTTTATAACTACATTTCCCTTTTTTATTTTGACTTTTAAACAAGTTTCTGCATTCTGTCAGAGCAGAGGGGAAGGGAACGAAGGGGAAAAAAAAGTTTTAAGAAAATTGAAAATAAGTCATAAAGTCAGAATTGCATTCAGATATCCAATCTGTACAGAGTGAAATAATTGACTGCCCGGCAGAGAAGAGGCCCAGATGATTCTGAGAAGTGACTGGCATGCATGTGAATGCACTGCAGTAAAAATACCAACATCTCCATTTCTATAACGACTCCTCACATGCTTTACAATACAAAGGGTACATACAAAAGTTGGTAAATAAGAGCAATAAAATGGTAAAATGGTGCTAAACAATCTTTTCCCCCATTTTTCCCCCCCCCCACCCTTCTTGCATGCAGTCCAGAGCAACATTTGCAAAGTAGTCTACTGACTACAATGCAGTCCTCCTATAAGGAAAAGCAAGGTTACCACAGTATTGTCAATCAATTCTGACACCTGCTTACGAAGATTGATTAATTATTTTTGATGTCTCTCTGCTACGTTATTGTTTCTCAGTCTAGAAAAGAAACACAACAAAGCCAAAAATACCACACATCTCTCGCTAAAGAATTAATGGTCCCAAGTTACCCCCAGGCAGAGTCTTTCTTCTCTTACAATAATGTTTCTGGTGCTTGCTAATGCAAATCGCTCATTCCCAGAGCAAAAATAACCATACTTCACTTACATGACGAAAAATAATGTGTATTTTCAAGTGGTTTAAGCCTACCCTTGACACTTTTTTTTCTTCAAATCATGTCATGACAGAAAACAGGTTTTACACGTGTCCAATTTAGGCCATTAAAGTTCTATTTAAATCTTGGGTAACAGAGACACGCGCAGGCACTTCAAACAGCTGCAAGTTTGAAACGATGTAAACGTTGAGAGTAATAGACAAGGTTCTATTAACATGTGTATAGAGTGTGTCTACGACCCGTGAACTGGCTGTTAACGCAGTTTAACAGCCAAGCACACTTTTCAATCTTTGTCATTCTGAAGCAATTTTCATAATAATTCTTACTGACAGAAGCAACTGCTGCAAAAGTGAAGTACATCCAACAGAACTTGTCAAACGAAGGCGCCACTGCTGCACAAGTCCAGACAAGGCTACTTAAGGATAAAGCTTCACACTTCACAGACAAACAGAAACAAGATGCAAATGTTCCACGACAATAAGTCAAACCATCAACTCCCACTGCGGTCAGAAAGGTCCTCAATCACCTAGCCATCAGGTAGACTAACATTCTTTCTCCAGCTTTTCAGATTGAAATACATGGATGGAGCTCCACTCATCACCCATTCATCCATCTCAATTTCCAGGATTCAAAATGCAACCACTCCGAGCTGCTGCCTGTGTAGTACGACACGTTTAATATATTTCACTCCAGCCCCAACTCACGAAGCTTGAATAGCTTTAAATCTTAGAATGCTTATTTTCATTGCAGAGTACACGTTGCTTCTAAGAATAAAGATGAGCTATACAAGACACTGCTATGAAAATGTCCTCAGTAAAAAAAAAATGGGTCTCCAACAGCTTCCTTCCGTACTAAAAATCGTAATGCAGACATCACTGTCATTTCTAAAGTTAAGCATGAAAGAACACAGAGGAGCTCATGAGAAATCTGTTCTGCTTTCACCAGAACTCCTAACAGCACATCAATTAAGCACTGTGTTGGCTCAGTTCAGGAGAGATGGCCTTTCAACATTCAGGCAGAACTTCCTCTAGGTGGGGATGGATTATTAACTTTGTACCAGAAGAGAAAAATGTAACCACTGTGCTTCCTCACTTTACAAACACCACCAATGTAAAGAAACATCAATGTTTTAACAGACAAGCAAGAAAATACCTGTAAATACAGGATAAAGGCTCCAATAACCATCCAGAGAATATACCAATTCACAACAAACTTTGCAATTTAAGAAATTACAATTTGCTTTGACCCTTGCACTGTTAAGAGTCCGTTGTGAGTAGCACCAAGACAAAGGATACAAGTAATCTCTTTAAAGCAGGGAAATAATAGCTCTGCAGATCCACATACACAAAGAAGATTCACCTGGGCCTCCTCTCACTCTGTCTCACCGCAATTAGCCCAATGTTCCACAAAACAGAGCAGGACAGACCCCAAACCCTCAATACACACAGACAACAAATGGCCAAAAACCTTATTTAAAACATTATTTAAAACCTTATTATCAAGTTCATATGCAGAAAAGAGGTGTTATATTGCATTGTATTAGCTTTATAGCTCCGTTATGATCATACTGATGGAACAATCCACCAAATATTACCAGTGAATTGTTTCTCTCTCTGCAGCATGTACATTACTTCAGCCAATATGTCTGACTTCAGCTACTCCTTAACTTCCTAAGCTGACAAGTTACCGGATTTACTTTATTTATTTAGGAATGAGTGACCTTGTATTAAATGTTTAAAAGAGATGTAAATCTTATAGCTTAATTTCAGTACTCCAGAGAAAAAAATACCTGAACTTAGACACGTTTTTAAAATAGACTGTTATCGATATTTAACCTATAAAAAGTAATTTTCCAAAGACAGAATTTGAATCCTCAAAGACACAGCCTCAACAATGGATTGCTATTAGTTAGGTATTAGAACACTTAGCAGCTATATATGTCAACACACTTAATAAATAGAGTTCCTGCATCTAAGGGGGGTTTTACAAGGGAATTAAATGAGATGTCCTGTCCAAGATTATATGGCAAAATAACAGCAAAGAGTATTCTTCACAGCCAGTCTTTACACTGACACCAAAGGGGGCAGGAGAAAAGTGACAGCCCTATAAATTAAGTCTTCTTTCCCACTACATATAGAAAAGCAAGTGTCAAGATGTGCTTCCTTCTTACTGATCAATGACTTGGTATCACATCTACTCTTAAGAACGAGGCTGTAGCTCTAGCTTTACTGAGCACTCACTCCTTTGCAAAAATATGTTATTGTTTTATATTTACCAATCTCTCCTGCAAACCTTGTCATGAGGGATGTATGTTTCACTCAGCTGCACTTATGGTGTCCTGAACGTAACTAATGTCCACTTAGTCAAAACACTTGAAAGAAAGGAAGACTGGAATGAGCTAAACATTTTCGCTCTCGAGAAGGAAAAAGTCATTAAAATCCACTACTAATTTTTGCTCCCTGGGCAGTCCCATGAAGTGCGAGTGTCATTTCCATGACACTTCCAGAAGGGACAGCAGCGACACAGCTTTAGGCCGGTTTCTCCGTCTCTCAGTTCCCATGGAGTGGAGCAGCCTATTTTCAGCGGTAAGTCAGCAGGTAGAATCTTCCTTCGGAAGACTAGCTCCCGTGTTCCTAAGCGGTGTAGGAGCCTGTTTCCTCCTCAACTCCTGCCACATACTTCCACCACCCATGAACAAAAATCATAGCGACACGAACAAACCAAACAAACAAAAACCAGGCAAGTGAAAACGACAGGGAAAGGGTGCAGGGATGAGAAGGAGAAAACCGTAATAAGCAAAGACTTACTTGAACCTGCCCTGGCAGTGCTGGCACTGGTCTCCCACCCAGCCCTGGTCGCAGACGCAGGTGGAGTTGACACAATGACCCGAGAAGCAGGAGATTTTGTCGCAGGACTTAGACTGGGACACCTGGGCATAGAGAGCCAGGTAGAGGAAGCCGTAGAAGGAAGAGCAGCCAGCTGTTCACATCCAGGAGCGAGGCGAAGCAGCAGCAGCAGGCGGAGGGGAAGGGTCTGCCCGGGGCCGCGGGGGCAGCGCCG